TTTGGGATGATTCGTTGTCTATTCAGGTATTCCACCAATGCAGGGTACATCAAGTTGATTGTGGAGCTTTAATCCGCTGCTTCTGAGGCTGGGAGAGATTTCCCTTTCTCTTCTTTGTTCTCACAGCTCCCGAGGCTCAGCTTTGGATTTGGCCCCGCCTCTGCGTGTAGGTCACCTGAGAGCATCTGTTCTTCGCCCAGACAGGACGGGGTTAAAGGACCCGCTGATTCGGGGGTTCTGGCCCACTCAGGTCGGGGGTAGGGAGGGGCACGGAGTGCGGGGCGAGCCTGCAGCGACAGAGGCCGGCGTGACGTTGCACCAGCCTGAGGCCCCCCATGCGTTCTCCCGGGGAAGTTGTCCCTGGATCCCGGGAACCTGGCAGTGGCGGGCTGCACAGGCTCCCCGGAAGAGGGGTGTGGATAGTGACCTGTGCTCGCACACAGGCCCCTTGGTGGCGGCAGCAGCAGCCTTAGCATCTCCCCCCCGTCTCTGGGGTCCGTGCTTTTAGCCGCGGCTCGCGCCCGTCTCTGGAGTTCCTTTAAGCAGCGCTCTCAATCCCCTCTCCTCGCACACCAGGAAACAAAGAAGGAAGAAAAAGTCTCTTGCCTTTTCGTCAGGTCCAGACTTTTCCCCGGACTCCCTCCCGGCTAGCTGTGGTGCTCTAACCCCTTTAGGCTGTGTTCACGCTGCCAACCCCAGTCCTCTCCCTGGGATCCGACCAAAGCCCGAGCCTCAGCTCCCAGCCCCCGCCCGCCCAGCGGGTGAGCAGACAAGCCTCTCGGCCTGGTGAATGCTGGTCGGCATCGATCCTCTGTGTGGGAATCTCTCCGCTTTGCCCTCCGCACGCCTGTGGCTGCGCCCCCCTCCACCACCCGCAGCTTCCGCCCACGAAGGGGCTTCCTAGTGTGTGGAAACCTTTCCTCCTTCACAGCTCCCTCCCACTGGTGCAGGTCCTGTCCCTATTCTTTTGTCTCTGTTTTTTTTTTTTCTTTTGCCCTACCCAGGTACGTGGGGAGTTTCTTGCCTTTTGGGAGGTCTGAGGTCTTCTGCCAGCATTCAGTAGGTGTTCTGTAGGAGTTGTTCCACGTGTATATGTATTTCTGGTGTATCTGTGGGGAGGAAGGTGATCTCTGCGTCTTACTCTTCCGCCATCTTCCCCTCGTCCCCCCACTGGTATTTCTTACTACAGTATTACTATGCAGGTTGCCAAATGGTGATTTCTTTCCTAATAAAATCATTTCTTTATTAGTTGTCATTCTACTGTAAAAAAAAACCTCTCTCCCCAGTTACTCATTTGTTTATGTCAGTGTGAATTTAAGGATTACTATTATGTAATGGTTACTGTCATTATGTTGATGCTCATATTGTCCCTGATTTGATCAAGAGGAGCCCCTTTAAGCTGACTTCTGTGTCCTTTTAGTATGTCCTCATGTTAACTGAAACAAACTTGCTTTGCTCACAATGCACAGCAAAGCTAATCTCCTGAAACCAGGTTGTGGTGAGGGAAAGTACAGTTTATTCCAGAGCACCAGACAAGGAGAACGGGCCGCTCATGCCCAAAAGATCCAGGCTCCCTGATGGGTTTTAGGGAAGGGTTTTTAAAGGCAAGGTAAGGGAGAGGGTCACAGGGTGTGTGATCAGCTCGTGCACAGTTCTCTGATTGGTGCATGGTGAGGTAACAAGGTGAGGTCACAGGGGTCAGCATCCTCAGTCTTCAGGTTCCAGCCGGTCTGGGGGCTACATGCTCGTGGTCAGCTTTTCTTATCTGGTGTGGGGGGTCTGGTTTCTATGAAACAGCTTAGGAATGTGTGTCAGACTTACCTTTACTACTGAAACAGAACTGGGAGTCCTTGTGACTGACTTATTAAGTTATGGCTACTCTCGTCTGCCTGCCCTATCTTTGTTTCTGCATTCTTTATTCCTCAGTCATTAGCTGCTGGGGCGTGCTCTTTGCTTCTCATGGAGGGCCTAGGAAGTCACAGCTTATTTCCATAGCCTCTTTTTCCAATCAGCAGTAAGCAGGGAACACCAAGAGGTCTGTCACCGAGAAGGCCCCTACGTGGGTTTCACTCACTTTCACTCATCATTCTTATTATATCTTACTTCCTAGCAAAACAAGATTTTCCAGGGTTATCTTATATTTCCTGTGCTCTAGACAAGTCACATTGATTCCTCTGGTTTCATTTCCACACCATAGGGTTCATTCTAGATTTCTCCTTTTCCATATTTGCAATTCCATTCTTCAACCCTGAGAAATGCCTTCCATTATTTTCAATATGTTTGTTTATTAAAAACAATCCCTCCGTGTGGAATGATCTCACTTCACCCATAGCATCCCCTCCCCTCTCCCACCTTGCCCGGATGCCTATCTTTCTCAGTCCTAGAATAACTATGCAGCCATTAAAAGAAATGACAGAAAAGACATTTGCCATGTAATAAAAGAAAAAGCCACAAAACAACCACTGTAGGATGCGATTTTTTAAAAAGCAAATACATGTATGTTGAAAAATACTGGAAGAATATATGTAAAAATTTTAGTAGTGATTGTCTCTGAGTCTATATATATATATATTTCTTCAGCGTTTTTAAGAGTTTTCTGTATTGACAGTTTTATTTCTGTAATTATAAAAGAGGAGAAATAAGTGTCATTTTAAAGCTGGAGGAGCTGACGTTACGGAGGGATAGCAGGTGGACTGACAGCGCAGTCAGATGTCCGCTGCTCATTGCCGCACAGGGACATTACAGTGTGCGCTGAACTATTGCAGATGCCCTGCTCTGCCATGACGACGAGCTGGAAGGACGCCGGATTGCCTTCATTCTTTACCTGGTTCCTCCCTGGGACAGGAGCTTGGGGGGCACCCTGGACCTGTACAACGTTGACGGTAAGACAAAGGCGTGCTCTTCAACACCAGCAGCCACTTCCGGGTCCTTAGGCGCTCTGTCTGTGCTCCTTGGGAGATGGGAGCTCTTCATTACAGTGGCGACCGCAGGGGGATAATTGCCAGCCCTGACAGCCACCTCTCCTGAGTTGTGCCTGAAATAATCATTACTCCAGAGATAAGTTAGAGCCGAGTTAAGATGAGGAATAGTCAGACCCTGCTTCTGAATGCTGGCCGTGGGAGGGTAGAGAACATGTGCAGCCACCCGTGGCTATGAATCTGCCAGGACCAGTGCCTCTGATGGGAGGTCAGGGTCTTTTTTATTTTTTTAATGGCTGACACCAGAGCTCAACTCCAGAAAAGGTTCAGAACCTTTTCCAGCCTTCATCAGTAATAGAGGATGGTGGAGTAAGAACAGATATCACCTAGCAGAACTATATAAGAGAAACAGATGGAACGGGTGGCATATGGGGATCTGGAGGGGACATTCAGCTACCCTTAGAAATTGGCAAATTGTCAAGGTGAAATGAGGCGGCCGGGAAGTGGTTAATGACGATGAAGCACATTTACGGATGTGTTCTCTCCCCACGCAGAACACTTTCAGCCGAAGCAGATTGTCAAGTCTCTTATCCCTTCGTGGAACACACTGGTTTTCTTTGAAGTGTCTCCAGTATCCTTTCACCAGGTAAAGACTGTGAACCACAAATACATAGAGGGCCAAAGAGCATGCTTTTCAGTCGCCCGTTCTCTAAATGTGACAGCTTCCGGTTGGACTGTCCGGCCAGGTTGTTTTCACACCTAGCGTGAAGGGTCCTGGAATTAGTGAGCCTTGGCTGGTAATCTTCCCCGCTGGTCTTTGCATTGATGTGCTGCTGGTCTTGTCCTTTCAGGTTTCTGAAGTCCTGTCTGAAGAAAAGTCGCGTTTGTCCATCAGCGGCTGGTTTCATGGTCCTTTACTGACCAGGCCTCCCACCTACTTTGAACCTCTCATACCTCGGAGCCCTCACGTCCCACAAGATGTAAGGATAAATTCCTGTTGCTGGGATTCTTGTCTTAGAAAAGCTGTGGCGTATCATTTGCTTTTCTGGTTTTAAAAGTGGCTCATCCTGCTAACAGAACTAGGCTTTGAGCTTGCCTTTCCACCCTTCTTAGATACACTTTTGATAGTGTCTTTCTAAGGCAGAGCTTTCCAGAACTTTATTTAACAAGGAGAAAATTATAAAGTGAAGATTTGCATATATTTTACTAGTGTAAAATGATTCAGAACAAAAGCAGTAGGAATTATTAACTCACCCTTTGCATCTGCTGCTTCTTTGTAGCATGAAATTTTGTATGATTGGATCAACCCTACTTATCTCGACATGGAGTACCAAGTTCAAATTCAAGAAGAATTTGAAGAAAGCTCTGAAATTCTCCTAAAAGAGTTCCTTAAGGTAGGCCAGCAAATCCTGTCCGATATACCACATTTGGTGTGCAGCCTTGCTTCCTGGGCGGGTGAAGAGGCATCACTAAGAGCTTTTGTTGCTTTTTGTTTTGTTCCTGGTTAGCATGTCTACGTCATCCTCTTCTTCCAATAAAGTATAGAAATGATAATAGCTAACATTGGTATCAGTCGTATGTTAGTGGGTCGAGTCCCTTGGGTATTCCCCAGTTCTCTAGAATCTTAATCACGCACACTTTTTTTAAAAAATTATTTATTTTTGGCTGCACTGGGTCTTCACTGCTGTATGGGGGCTTTGTCTAGCTGCGGTGAGTGGGGACTACTCTTCGTTGTGGTGTGTGGGCATCTTATTGCAGTGGCTTCTCTTGTTGCGGAGCACGGGCTCTAGACACGCAGGCTGTAGAGCACAGGCTCAGTAGTTGTGGTGCACGGGCTTAGTTGCTCCGCGGCATGTGGGATCTTCCTGGACCAGGGCTCAAACCCGTGTCCCATGCATTGGCAGGTGGATTCTTAACCACTGCGCCACCAGGGAAGTCCCACACACACACTTCTATATTGGGGATGAGTGGTGTGTAGTTCCCATCCTAGTCATTTGATGACTTTGGTACTTACCAATTACTTTTAAATAACAGAAAGACTGCTGATTAACAAATTAGTAACAAATGTTTGAGAATGATGAGGTAGCACATTATAGTGGAGAGAGAACCAGGTTAGAAGTTAGAAGACTTTATTTTTATTTTTTTTAATAAATTTATTTTTGGCTGCGTTGGGTCTTCGTTGCTGTGCGTGGACTTTTCCCTAGTTGCAGAGAGCGAGGGCCACTCTTCCCTGCAGTACGTGGGCCTCTCACCGCGGTGGCCTCTCGTCGCGGAGCACGGGCTCTAGGGGCATGGGCTCAGTAGTTGTGGCTCGTGGGCTCTAGAGTGCAGGCTCAGTAGCTGTGGCACGCACGGGCTCAGTTGCTCAGTGGCATGTGGGATCTTCCCGGACCAGGGATTGAACCCGTGTCCCCTGCATTGGCAGGCAGATTTCCAACCACTGCACCACCACGGAAGCCCTAGAAGACTTTATATTCACGTCTTACCTCCGTGGTTTTACTGACCTGAGCAAATTACTAAGGTCTCACTTTTATTTCATCATCAGTTAAACTGGGATAATACTTGCCCTGCCCGTCTTGAAGAGTTGTTGTGAGGGCCAAATGAGATCACGTATGCGAGTGTGGTTTTTCCCAGGTGACCCTGGGTCCCATGGAATCAGTCCCAAGAGTTGGTGCCTCCTTGAAAAAAAGGTTGAGAGACACTACATACCACCTCTGTCTCTGAATTATATAGCTGACATAGCATATTAAGGAATTTGAGAAGTATTAATAGTAAATAAACTTGTTGAACCCTATTTAATTCAGCTCACCTAAACCATCCTTTGGGATCCTCTTTCCTGTTTTACAACTGATAGGATTACTGTTTGTAGAATACTCCTTGGGAAACTGCATTAAACAAGTACTTATAAAGGCTCTTATGGAGAATATTTTAACAGATTAATCGGCTTCTTGTACTACCCTGGACTTTTCAAGTTTAGAATGCTGATTAGATCAAGGGAATGAGCTGAGGCCTAAAGAATCTGTATTATTATAGAGACATTTTCATTATAATAAATGCAGGAATTTGAGAGGTTTACCAATTTGACGTAAGACATACAACTACTTAAGGAAATGGCCCAAACTGACACTCAGGTGACTTGGCTAAAGCATGCTGACGATTTATCCAGTCTTTGCTCTGGCTTCAGCATATCAGGACTGGGGGAGGTTGTGTGAAAGGGATGAGTCACCCGGCCCTTTTAGGAATCAGCCAGCATGATTCCACAGAGCTACTGTACCTGCAAGACCAGTGTGGGATCATAGGGAGATCTGCTAACTGCTGCTTCATTTGCTCCTTTTCCAGCCTGAGAAATTTGCAGAGGTGTGTGAGGCTTTGGAGAAAGGAGATGTGGAATGGAGCAACCGAGGTCCCCCTAACAAAAGGTAGAACCCATCATCCAAGACATTTGCTTCTGCATTCAACACCTGCCTGTTTGTCTGCAAGGCTCACCTCCAATAATAGGGCATTTGCCCTAATGATGTTTTGTTCCCAGGGACATCCAGTAGCAGGTCCTAACAAAACCTCATTATTGTAACAACTTGGACGTTAGTAAGCTATGCAAGGTTTAGGGAGAGAGATACAAAGCTCATGATCAGCTTTCATCCCATGAGTAGTATTACATCTGTGGCTTTGATGAACACCTTGGCATCGCTGCTTTCCAGGTTTTACGAGAAGGCTGAGGAGAGCAAACTTCCCGACATCTTGAAGGACTGCATGGCATTATTTCGCTCCGAGGCAATGTTCTTGCTGCTCTCCAACTTCACAGGCCTGAAACTTCACTTCTTGGCCCCTTCAGAAGAAGGTGAGCTTGAGGACAAAAAAGAGGGAGAAGCGGCCTCTGCTGCTGAGAACACTGAAGAAGGGCCTAGCCGCAGCTCTGAGCCAGAGAGCAGGCAGGTGGCCATCAGCAACAGCAGTCAGCAGAGCGGTGAACAGGTGGACCCAGAGCCAGAGGAAAACGATGCAAAGAAAGGTAAGCTGCTGTTATGTTCTGTCCTTCTTTTACTATCAGGTATTCACGATTCAGTCATTTATTCATTCAACAAACATTTCTTTAGCACCTACTATATGCTAGGCCCTATTTCTGGAGCTGGAGAAGAAGACAGACAAGGTCTCTGCTCTCCCTGGCTTATAGTCTATTGATAGTAGGAGAGGACAGAGATTAAATGATACACGAACAACAAGAAAACATCAACTAAGGATAGGTGCTCTGCAGGAAATCTGAATAGGGTTATGTGCTGAGGAATGACTGGGTGGCCTCTTAGGTGAATGGGCAATCTGGACCAGCTTGTCTGAGGAGCTGTCATCCAAGCTCAGATCTGAATGACAAGAAGGATCTGCTAGGACAGCATTCCAGGTAGGAAGAACAGCTAGTACATTTTATTAGGCTAACAGTACAAATGGTGGAGAGAAATACGACTGGCTTTACCTAAACCTACTTTAAAACACAAGAACATAAAGAAGAGGAAGGTGAGTGGCTTCTTTCTGCTAAGAACCAATATCAGCCTAAGAAAAACTTGCTTGAATTTGGACAAATAGGTAGAAGGAAATTATTAAAAGCAGAGGACGTTTAATCATCTACAAACAAGATGGAATGGACACATGACATAAACTAGTAGAAGGTACACCAAGAGCGAACCCTAATGTAAACTGTGGACTTCAGTTAATAATGCATCAATATTGGTCAGTTGTAACAAGTAAATCACACTAAGGCAAGATGTTAATAATAGAGGAAACTGATGGGGAGGGGCAGGGGTTGTGTGTGGCAGGAATAGAGGAACTGTACTTTCTGGGAAATTTAATTTTTCTGTAAACTGCTCTAAAAAGTAAAGTTTATTTAACAATAATATTCATGTCATTTTAGAGAAAATTTCTGGCAGCTAAATATATATTCCATCTGAAAATCATGGTAAAGAGAAATAGAAAGTCAACTTTTTTTCATTATAAGGCTTATATATTTAATATATAATGGAGCAATAGGTCAGCTGAAGGTTTATGGAAATAGTTTCTCTTCAGTGCTATAACTATTCCTAATTATCATTCTTTTGCAATCTACAGTGGTATCAACGTTATTTTTTTCTGGCCTTCTGTTGTTTTTTTCCTTAGAATCAAGTGTTCCCACATGCCAGGGGGAACTGAGGCATTGGAAGACTGGTCACTACACTTTAATCCATGACAACAGCAAGACTGAATTTGCCCTGGACTTACTTTTCTACTGTGGCTGTGAAGGTAAGAGGGACAGTCCCTCCTGAGTGACCCTCTCTAACTGAACCAAGATCACAAGTAATTCGCCTTGGCCAGGATCTCAGATCACAGGAGCTCTGCTGGAAGGGATCGTAGGGGTCATGAATTTCAGTCATCTCCCAACTCAAAGTACTATTTGTATCTGTGACCAAGGTATAGGAGATGAACTAAATCATAATTTCCATCTAATGAACCCCCCAGAGCTTTTATGTAATTGTCCTTCTAGGTGTATTTTATATTTAGTTCTTAGTTTTCAGTTCTTATTCAGTGTTGGTTGAATGATAAATTCAGGCTCATAAGTCAGAGTTGGTTCTACTGAACTCCCAGATCCCCGTTTTAAGCAGCATGGGATCAAACAGATCAATGACTCAAACAATGATTCAAACAGATCAATGTAACTCTTGCAGTGAGAGCTTTCTGAATGCTCTTTGTTTTCCCTTCATAAGGCTGGGAGCCAGAGTATGGTGGCTTTACCTCCTACATTGCCAAAGGAGAAGATGAAGAGGTAAGTTGCTTCTGATAGCAAACCATCCTTTTTCTGTTCTTGAAGACACTTTCATTCTTCAGAGACGCAACTTTTACGACCTTCTGCCAGTGTCTTTAGCTGATAAATCCACATTGGTCTGGCTGGCAGTGGTTCTAATTTCTAGTAGAAAGTATTCAGCATGGAATAAAGAGGCTAAAGGATAATCACTAAGCATTCTACCCAGCTAAAAGAAATTCCAAATAAATGGTTCATTCCCATGAATCTTTCAATGTATTAAGAAATAAATGCATTAGGTAAAACTTTTCTGGGTATGTACTGGAATGGGGCCTATTGGAGAATGTCTAGACAGCAAGATCAATAGCTCCTCCTAGTAAAGGATACTTTAAAGGATCCTCTATCGCCGGAGGCTGAGTATTTGATATGGAACCGTCTGTTTAAGAAAAGAGGTGAGAATAGAATCTCCGTGTTCTGATGTATCACTGTATTTGCCTATTTCAGCTGCTAACAGTGAATCCAGAAAACAATTCTTTGGCCTTGGTCTACAGAGATAGGGAAACTCTGAAATTCGTCAAGCATATTAACCACCGAAGCCTAGAACAAAAGAAAACTTTCCCAAACAGAACAGGTTTCTGGGACTTTTCATTTGTCTATTATGAATAAGCTTGGGCAAAGCTGGAAAGAGGAGACCCTTCCTCAGTACTGGGACGTCTGGAAGAGTTAGGCATCGAGTAAAGGAGAGCTACAAGGTGACCTGTGTGACAGCGTTCTTAAAACTGTGTGGTTGTCCTTTAGTAGGGCTCATAATGATCATCCTCAACCTAGACCTTGAGCTTGGAGCTAGGTACTTCTCTCTTGATGTAAAATAAAAAGGGGTTTTGTCTTTTACTTTAACATTCAGTTCATTTTCCATCTTGGCTTCTTCAGTGATTGAAAAAAAAATGTGGTAAAATATATGTGACATAAAATGTATCTTTTTCAAGTGTGCAGTTCAGTGGCATTAAGTACATTCAGTGTTGTGCAGCCGCCACCACCATCCATCTCCAGAACGCTTCCGTCTTACCCAGCTGTACCTCTGTCCCCATTAAATAGTAACTCTACTTTCCCCTCCCCCCAGCCTCTGGCAGCCACCATTCTACTTTCTGTCTCTATGAATCTGACAACTCATATTCCTCATAAGACAAATAATAGAATGTCTGTCCTTTTGTGACTGGCTTATTTCACTCCGCATAAAATCTTCAAGGTTCATCCATGTTTCCAGTGACTGACTTTTTTTTCTAAATATGGACTCATGAATTTATGACTGCAGATTCTGTCCTTCCTAATTTCACAGGTTTAGAAGATTACAGAACCTTACACCCTGTTCATTCTGGGCCCATTGCACTTCCTCCCACTGCCTGTGGCTTTGTTCCACTGTGACTCTCTGTGGACTGTATAGACTAGGCTATGTGTAGTCTGTTCCCTTGGAAAAAGCCTGGCCTAAAACCACGTGTCCACAAGAAACTTCTGGTCAGTAAAGAAGATGTGCAGTAGTTTTCAGGTGCCCACTGCTCTTCCATCCTGGAGTTGTGCCTCCACTATGACTATATGATTTTCTAATCTCACATATGGCTTTCATTTCCTAAATATTGTAGGGTCAACTATCAAACTAGTTGCCTTTCTTGAAGAGACCAAATACTAAAGACCATGGCAAAATGCCAAGAAGCTGTCCATTTTGTTACATTCTTTTTCCCCTGAACTGTTCGAGGGGATTATATTAAAACTGCTACCCATGTGCATGGGCGTGCATGGATAGGTGTAAGGTGTCACTGCATCTTTAGTTGAAAGATGCTATTCTCATTCCATTCCAGTGCTGTCTCCCTGTTAACTTCCTCCTTTTTTACATGTATTATTAGCTATTGCAGTAGCTTTTATTTTGGATTTTACTCATTAATAGGAAAAGCATTTGGCTTTATCTTTTTTTATCTCCTAACTTTGAGTACTAAAATTTGAACTTAAATGAAGAAAATGAGTTGCACTTTCTTTTAGGTTGATGGTTTCAAAATTTTGATCTTGTACCCCAATCAGTTAAAAAAAAGTTTTAGCATGTATGCTCATTATATGGATATTTATCTATAAATTTTACACATGTACTAATATTCAGTATTACTAATTTTTAAAAATTGAGCTAAAAAGAAATACCTAGCACTAGTTCTCATATTGTCTTTCCTCACCAACATGGGGGGGGAGCATTTACATGCATACTGTTTTGGGGAGCACAATTTTTTAACCATAGTGTAGTGACACTCAAGTGGGATTACAAGTACTACTCTGTTGCTAATGGTTTAAATTTCAAAGCTTGCCTTTTCTTTTAAGTTCCTGCAGACTGAAAGTCATCCCTGTAATATTACTTTCACTCACTTGCTTTCTGATGTGTTTTTGTTAAGTGCCAGCAAGAAGGGTGAAGTTCTAGTTAACACCTTCTTAGTGGCATAACCCCAGGAAGCCCCGGGGAATAGGGCTGAGCAGGTGAAACCACCATGTGTGCCAAGCTTAGAAAACAGTTTGAGACTCATGGTTGTAGGTAACATCTAATAAGAGTTCTGGAGCACTGAGTCTAAGTCGTAGCATCCTACACAAGCATGAAAATGTGTTTATTACATTCTCCTTAATCTCAGTGTGTTTATGGTCTGTCAACACAGCAGAATCGTCTACACACTACAAAAAAGGATTCTGGTGTCCAAGAGGAAAGAATCCCTGAGAGCCAGACTGCGGTGCTGCTGTTAGTTACATCATTTACAGTGGTACCTCTTAGACTGTGAAGGATGGTGTAACTCGCAGGTCAGTTTTCTCCACTGAAGGTAACCAGTGATGAAGAAGTTGCTTTTCCTCAGCATTTCATTCTTCATCTTGACTTTTAGGGCCTAGAGCCGATGTTGACAACTGTTAAGTAGCAATAGAGGAATTAAAATATGGGCATCCTTTTTATACTTCTTGCAGAGAAAAGCTATGATATTCACCTGTAAAATATGTCATCTCTTAATTCTTATTCCTTTTAATAAAGGAAGATTTTTTTTCCCAAATAGCTTTATATATTTTTTTTAGATTATCTATATAATACATGTTTGTTGTGAAGAACACAACATGTAAAAATATGAAGTAAAGTTCACCTGGAATCCCACCATACTGTGATAGCCACTGTGTGCTATGTGATATATCAACTTGGCTAGACTGAACTACATTTCCCAGGACTCCCTTCCCTCTGTTTCCAGTTAGGATGAGCCACACATCCTTGTGCGAGATATGGAGGGCCAGAATGAAGCAGTAGCCATTTTGTAGCTCACACACACTGTAGCTTACCTGCTGGCTCACCTTCTCAGTGTGATTCCACGTCTGCGCCTCCAACTGCTCCACCGTCCCTGGCTCTTCCTTCAGCTTCTCTGATGAAGGGTCTCCCCACATCATCAAGATCAGAGGCAAGAACTGAGATTTTAATGTGTCCTTGTGGGCTCCAGCTCATGCCTCTGGGTTCCAGCTTGTTCCTGTTCTTCCCAACTCTACATCCTTTCTGACTGCCTGTCCTGTGGGCTTCAAGTTCCAGCATGAGACTAGAAAACTGACAGACTACACTTTGCCACTTCCTACAATTGTGTAAGGTCAAGTCCCCATGACACATTCCCCTTATCATGTTAACCATTATGTAAATAAGAACATTTTCAGAAAGTTACTTTGAAAGCATATTAGTATTTCTGTTAAGCAAAGGAAAAATAAAATATTTAAGGAAGAACCCTATAAATCTAATTTCAGTCCCTCACTTAAAGATGTAGAAAAATGAAACGAAACCTAGGAGAGAAAGAGGCTGTTACATTTTGAACCTGGCTTTTCTACAGCTCATTGACTGCCTCAGACTCCTCTGAATGTGGTGTTTCTTTCCCATAGAATACTGAAAAAAAAATCAATGCTTGGGCTGCCTCTCCCAGACCAGCATTTCCACAGCAAGTAAGTTTCGGCTGCGGTACCTCTTCAGTACCATTACATACTGGCCACTACTGCAAATGAAGGAGAAAATCAAACCCTGTTAAAATAGTCCTTGATAGAGAGAAATGATAGCAGCAGGCTCTCCAGCCTGCGTGAACTGGACATTCCTACAAAAACAGATAATTCCTTCTCTGACTGACAAAAAATCAGTCCACATAGCCAATTCTGAAAACTACTTGGAAACTGCCCATGTGGCTTCATGTCAGGAATAGTACATTTCCTTACCACACAAATAAAAAGATGACTCATGAGCTAGAGCATATAGTGTGGGCAGGGGCCAGATGCAAAAATGCAAAACACCAGGCTGCAATGGGTGTCTTACTGTACTTTAGTGTCAAAGTGAAACGAGATAATTTAGTTTTGTGATCACAGGACTCTGCACTGGCAGATTTATAACTGCTAATTATAAAATTTGAAATGTTAATAATGTTGAAAATCATTCTTGTAAAGTACTTCTAGGGTTGCATAATAGTTGTAAAGTTCCTAGTTCTTTGATTTCTGAAGCCACTGACAGGCTTACTGAGGACAAACACTTCCATGGGGGGCAGCAGATGCTTCTCTATGCTCAAGGCACTGGCTTAGCACCATGGGGAGGACAAAGCTGATTAAGACGTAGCCCCTGCTCTCACTTAATCGGGGATTGAGATATATATAAACACAGAATGTAATAAGGGTTAAAGAATAGACATGGGAGAGGAAAGGTCTCCTGAGAGCATTTGAACTGAGCCTTGATGTAGTATTTGAACAGGCAGACATGGTGGGAAAGAATAAAGACCACACTCTCTCTAAAATACTGAATACCTGAATCTAGGGATAAGGGGGGTGACTTTAAAAGGGATGCTTTAAAAATGACTAAAAAGCTTTCTCCCAGATACCAGAATCCTCAAGATCAGCTTTTAAATGAAGGCAGAGTGTTCACTTAAAGCTTCAACAAAATTCAGCAACAAAATAGAGCTTAAGCTGTAGCTTGTAGAAGGCACTCAGATTCTATCAGGACAGAAAAATACGGCAACAAAATAGAGAAGTAGCTGATAACCAAACAGTTTTTCTCTTCCCTAAGCTGAACATGACTTCTAAGAGGATAAAAAGGATGAATACTATGAACATTTTCATCTCATCTAGTCTTCACTCACTTGGGAGCAGTCTGAAATAGCAGAAAGGGCCATGACTACTTGGTTTCCAACTTCTACACTGCGACTTAACCAAGCTGTAGGACCCTGTAGAAAACATTCTGCCTGAACTCAGAAACACTAATACCAAGAGGATTAAATTAATGTGGAAATAACCTATTTGTAATCCATAAGTCAGGGCTATAAAAAATAATCTTGCTGCAGGTCGACTCCTTCAAGCCTTGTCCATGAATATTTTTAGGTGTAAGAAGGAAGTTTTGGGGCTGAAGTACAACAGAATGACCTTTAATGAGATGATTCTTTAAGGGTCCCTAAAAATGAATAATGCCATACAATTTAAAACCAGCACCAACTAGAGATTTTAATCTCAAAGGGTGTAAGTTAGACTATGGCTAAAACAGAAAAAGACCCCACGGTGGGACTTGCGTCTTGCCAGTAGCTCTGTGGCTCTGGCAAGTAATTAATCCCTGCGCTTCAGTTTCTTCATCTCTGAAGCAGGTATGAAAGATTACTACTTTGGAGGTTACTGAAGATAATATAGTATATGTGGATGTCTTTTAAGCTTACAGGTTGAAAATGCAAAACAAAGGTATTAGAGGGGCATAACAGTCTCATAAAAATTAGGGCTCCTTAAAGCTCACATTTCAGAAATAGAAGAGGTAATCCTAAATGGCCAAACGGAGGAAACTATGAAATTAATTTACCACAGAGGAAAGGCCTGTGTTCTGTATAGTCTCTTTGGGGTTTCCTACAGGTCAGTATTCTGATGCAGAGAACAGATTCCTCACTAGACAATTTGAGTAAAAGGATTACAGCCTGCCAGATGGCTTACAGAATTATTAAGGCTGTCGAATAAAAACCTGTAGGATGCAATTCCAGAATCTTTTCTCAAGTCTGTACTGCAGAACCAGGCTGCCAAAGTAGCTGCTCCTGCCAGATCAGGAAGCTGCTTGTGAAACCAGGAGGCACCCTTTATTGCATATATAAACACAGGACTGCCTCAGGCTGAGCCACTAAATCAGCTACCATTTACAGGTTCCAGAACAGCATCACAGTGCTCCATTCAGGAGACCTCATGTGCAAAACCAGGAAGCTGCCACTCCAGCTTCAAGGTCCCCCAGTCATGCCAGCTTTTCTACTACCCAGAATCTATTTCTGCTACATCGGCAAGCCTCAGAGACAGAGTTTGGCTCCAGAACCACGCTACATTTGCTATAATCCACACTGATCAAATACATGCCCGATATCCCATTTATCTCAGTTCAAATTTCAAGTCTCATGTGATTGTATCTGAAATGCAAGCTGAATCAAACCTGGATCACCAGCTGAAAACGAATTGGAGAAACTTCTGTTTTAGCTTCCTGCTCTTCACAGGAAAGGGAAGTCACACTAGAAGAAAATTGGAACAGATATTCTGAGCGAAACCTCCATAATTGCATTAGACTTCACTCTCACTTCTCCACATTCAGCTCTGAAAATTCCAAACGTTTTTTTGTTATACAGAGAATTATATATATGGCCCATCTTTGGACCAAAGTCTAGAACATTCCTACTGTAAATAAGTTCTTAATAAGTATATATTCAATAAAATGACGTGAGGTTTAAAAAAAAGGGGCACAAATTGAATATCCATATTTTTGTTTTTCTCCACATAACACAAATAGTTTTATGCAATTCTGATGTGGTGATTTTACAATCAGTAAACACATAGTGCAACACCTTTAAATTTTAATGAAAAAGTAGATAATCTACTTTAATTACAATTTCAAGAAAAAAGATGCATCTACACACTGACTTTACATATGTACAGAAAAACTGGACTTTGAAGCCCTAATGTTTCAAAAGTATTCATTTCCCTCCATACAAACCTAGTGTATTCTGCAACAGTACTACTGATTTTAAAAAAAAGAAAGTGAATACACTTTTCAGATGCAATGCTTTGTCTTTCATTTGTACAACTCACCAAGGTGGTTTTCGCTCTCAGCACCTTGGGTTCGCCAGGATGTGATCCAAAGCAAACCAGCCTAGAAGTTTAAGGAAAAACCCCTTCTAGCAACCTAGTTACCTATTCTTTTCCTCTCCTATGAAGAAGCTGTCCCCACCCGCATGATTCGGAACAGCGTGTTGATGTTGTTGCTTCGAATCGCATCCCGACAAGCAGTGATCACCTGGTTCTTTGGTTTTCCAACTGTAAGAGAAGAAACATCAAATCCATATGAGCCAAAAGATTATTAAAAGTGAAATTATGAATCAGAGGCTATCTATAAAAACAACATAAAACTAGGGTAGAGGGCTTCCCTGGTGGCGCAGTGGTTGAGAGTCCGCCTGCCGATGCAGGGGACACAGGTTCGTGCCCTGGTCCAGGAAGATCCCATATGCCACAGAGCGGCTGGGCCCGTGAGCCATGGCCACTGAGCCTGCGCATCCGGAGCCTGTGCTCCGCAACGGGAGAGGCCACAACAGTGAGAGGCCCGCGTACCACAAAAAAAAAAAAAAAAAAAAAAAAAAAAACTAGGGTAGAAAAGAGTTACAGGTAAGTACAAATTTAACCAATTTATCTTACCATTCCCTAAAAAAGGTACATACCCTTGTAAGGGACTTTATCACAAACACAAACCAAGCTTAAAAACTATCTCACACCTAGAAACCAAGAGTCAGTTTTAGAAATAATCTTTGCTAAGTGGATGTGAGCTTTGATCCTTTTCTATAAAAGGAGGTCAAAGCACTGACCCAAAACAGCAGATTCCAAGTATAAATCTCTGGCTGATATTTCTGCTTCCTTTAGTTTATTCTGTTGTTCTTTTTGTAAATTTTAAGTTGGACACTTAACTCATTAATTTTCAGTCTTTTTTATTTTTTTCTAATAGGAGTATTTAAGGCTTTCCTCTTGAGTATATGTCACTAAGTTTTTCTTTAGAGGATGCAGCAAGATCTAAGAAAAGGAGCTGAAAGTGTTCTTTCCCTCTGAAGTCTGCAGACTAAAGCCAAACAATAGGCTGACTGCAACTCAAGTGAACGGTGCTAACTTCAGTATGAAAGGCATCTTTATAGATACAAGCCCTGATACGAATTCTTGAAGCTACCACCATCTTCAATGGTTCTCACCCAAAAATTACAGACGATATACAATGCTACAAAAAGAGACTTACCACGTAGACGACCTGCTCTTTGAATCGCTTGATTTACTGCTTTGAGGCTTCCCAACAGCTCTGTGTGATTGTTAGAGCGAATTTTATATCCATTGAGCAAGTCTTTATTAAGGTCATATAGTTCCATATAGCGATTCTTCATTGTTCTCCTGTGTACATCAAGAGAAATTTAACACCACTGTACCTCAGTATGGCAGGCTTAAATGAAAAGACTTGCAAACTTCTTAGACATTAAAAAAAGGAACAAACCAGATTTTTAGCTGTATTGTCATTAAAACAGGGTAACTGCTAAAGTCTGCTTTGAAAACATTGAGAATTTTCTGTGAAATACTCTGCTTCTTCCAAATAAATGGAAGACAAGTGGCCTTCCTTGGTTATTGATCCATGGTTTGTTTGAACTTAGGAACCAAGAATTATCATGCCCATGATATGAGGGGTGGGGAAAAGTGAGTAAGGTGATAGGCTATCTTCCAAGCTTCAGATTAATACTGACAGTTTCTTGTAAAGTTAAACATACACTTACTATACAACACAGCAATCACATGATGCCACATTTCACCCAAAAGAAATGAAAATATGTCTGCAAGAAACCTGTATGCAAACGTTTATAGCAGCTTTATTCTCAATCACCAAAGTCTGGAAACAACCCAAATGTCAATTAATTGGTGAATGGATACACAAAGTATGGATATCCATACAATAGAATACTATTCAGCAATAATAAGGAATGAACTACTGATAACTTGCCACGACATGGATGAATCTCAAAGGCATTATGGTAAGTGAAAGAAGCCAGACCCAAAAGGCTATACATTTGTATGATTCCATTTATATGACATTCAGGAAAAGGTAAAACTATAGGAAGAGAAATTAGATCAGTGGCTGCCAGGGCCTGGAGGTTAGGAGAGGTACTTGATTCTGGTAGTATAAATTTCCCCAAATTTATTGAACTGTAAACCTAAAAAGGGTGAATTATCTACATGTATATTATAAATTATATATCAACTAACCTGGCTTTAAAAAATACAAACAATGGGGGCTTCCCTGGTGGCGCAGTGGTTGAGATTCCGCCTGCCGATGCAGGGGACACGGGTTCGTGCCCCGGTCCGGGAAGATCCCACATGCCGCGGAGCGGCTGGGCCGCTGAGCCTGCGCGTCCGGAGCCTGTGCTCCGCAGTGGGAGAGGCCCCAGCAGTGAGAGGCCCGCGTACCGCAAAAAATAAATAAATAAATAAATACAAACAATGTATATCTGATAGTCTCTAAATGAAATATAAATAAATCAAGAAAAAAGGAATTTAGAGGTTGCTGGTCACCTCTCTCCAGTTTAGCACAGTCAAATGCCTAAAGCCAGCAACATCTCTTTCACTTAAAAAAAAAAAAAAAAAAGCCAGAGAGAGAAAAAAAAGGAGGAGCCCTATAGATAAAGTTGGCAAAAAAAGCAAAAATCTTATATACCTGAGAAAACAACTGGAAGAAAATGAACTGGAAAGAGGTAAAACTATCTCAATTTACAAATACTACAGCGTACCTCTGGAAAAACTAAACTATAAGATAATTCAGCAAAGTAGTAGACTACAAAATCAACACAGAAAAATCAATAGTGTTCATACAGACAAACAAAAAACCAGTTAGAAGATATAATGTGGAAGAAAGAGCCTATTTACAATTGCAAAAAGAAAATACCTACACCTAAACTTGACAAGTACTGTCTGATACCTACATGAACAAAACCATAAAACTCCTGAAACACATAAACATGCCTTGAACAAAATATAAAGACATACCACATTCTTAGTAAGACTGAACATCACTGTAACAATGTCAATTCTTCCTAAGTTAATAAATTTAATGTGATCCCAGTAAAACTACCTACTTTTTTCTGGAGCTAAAATAACTGATAAAGTTCACAGAACAAACAAGCATGAGTAGCCCGGAAAACCATGAAAAAGAAGAGCAAGAGGGTTGGGAGAGGGGCACCTAGCCATACCAGACATTAAAACATACAAAGCATTTTTAAGAATCACACTGTCAAATGAAGAGACAAGTCGGACGGATAGAGCAATATAGAAAATCCAGAAATAGACCCACTGCATATGGAAATACATTATAAAGGCAGCATCTCAAATCAGTGGGAAAACAGGCTTTTAAAGTAGTATTACTGAAATAATGTGACAGTCACACAGAAAAAGATAAAACTGAACTTATACCTTACACTGAACACCAGGATAAACTCCAACTGTAACAGACTTAAATGTAAATATACAAAATACTAAAAGAGAATTTCTCTACAAATGGGAAGGCAACTTTTGTAACTAGAACTCAAAATGTAGAAGTACCAAGGAAAAGATAGATCTGACTACATAAAAAATTTAAAAAGCTTTTATAAGCAAAACCAAAAATCTAAATAGGCAAAAGAAATAAACAATTTACAGGGAATTCCCTGGCAGTCCAGTGGTTAGGACTCCAAGCTTCCACTGCAGGGGGCACGGGTTCAATCCCTGGTTGGGGAACTAAGATCCCTCATGCTGCCTGCTATGGCCAAGAAAAAAAAAAAAGAAACAATTTACAAACCAAAAGAAACGCAAATAAGCCCTTAAAATAATGAAAAGATGCTCAATACTGCTCATAATAAAATAAATGAAAATTAAAACAACGAGACCATTTCTCACCCACTGAATTGGTAAGTATCCAAGAGTTTGCCAACATACTCCATTGACAAGACTAAGGGAAACAGGCACTCTCAGAGAATGCAAAATGATATGACAGCTATGGAGGGGAATTTGGCAAAATCTTGCAAAACTCTATACACATTTATCATTTTCCCCAGCAATCCCATTTTAGAACTTTTCCCCAAAGATACCTGAGTAAAAATATGAAAAGATTTATGTAACAAAATTATTCACTGCAATATAATAGCAGAAGAGCAACCCAAATGTGGAGAACTAGCTGAATAAACATCCAGAGAATAGAGTACTGTGCAGCTGTAAAAACAAATGAGAAGTATCTCTGTGTACTACTGTGGAATGAACTCCAAGATATATTTTTAAGTGTAAAAATTAAGGTGGAGGGCTTCCCTGGTGGCGCAGTGGTTGAGATTCTGCCTGCCGATGCAGGGGACACGGGTTCGTGCCCCGGTCCGGGAAGATCCCACATGTCGCGGAGCGGCTGGGCCCGTGAGCCATGGCCGCTGAGCCTGCGTGTCTGGAGCCTGTGCACCGCAACGGGAGAGGCCACAACAGTGAGAGGCCCGCGTACCGCAAAAAAAAAAAAAAAAAAAAAGCAAGGTGGAGAAGAGTAATTTGCTATGATTTACTTACCATGTGAGGAGATGTGTGTATGTATATTTAAATTTTTGATTGGTTATTCATAGTGAAAGGGAGGAAACAGAATGGAGGTGACGGGAAAGAGAAGTTAGACTTTTCTGCACATGTTTTATAGGGCCGACTTTGGACCCATATAAGGTTTTGTTTGTTTGTTTTGTGTGTTTTTTTTGCGGTACGTGGGCCTCTCACTATTGTGGCCTCTCCTGTTGCGGAGCACAGGCTCCGGATGCGCAGGCTCAGCGGCCATGGCTCACAGGCCCAGCTGCTCCGCAGCATGTGGGATCTTCCCGGACCGAGGCACGAACCCGTGTCCCCTGCATCAGCAGGTGGGCTCTCAATCACAGAGCCACCAGGGAAGCCCCCATATAAGGTTTTAATAAATATGTAATAAAATCAAACCAAAAAGGAAAAAATGTCAGCCCCCTAAGATTGACAGCAAAATGAACCAAATGAATCTAACTGTATATCACACTTGTAGCATGACCAAAAAAAGAGGAATTATTTCAAATGACTTTAAAATATAGTCATTTGACTAAAACTCCCTACTAGAACACACTCTAAAGACACAAAGAACTAGAAAAATAGTCTTACACCATTTTCGGCAGTCATATTGTTGACAGTAATGTTGGTATTATCCTTATATCTTGTGTGTGTACCATAAGATAAAGCCAATAGTTATGTTGACAGTGGTTAGAGACATGATTTCCACTGTGAGAGAGAAGAGATACACCGTTAACATCAAAATTAAGAGCCTGTATTCATAAATTTGACGTGGAAATAGTATGAATTCATGATATATTTGCTCACTGAAAAAAATATATACATTACCTAGCTTTATCTGTGGAAAAGGTCTCAAATCAATATCCAACCCAGTAGCAATGAGCATCTCTAATGCTCAGACTATGATCTCCATTTCCCACTATAAAGGACCAGGATTGAAGAAATAGCTGATTCCAGATTCAGAAGAGGATATATACCAGATACGCCTAAAAAATATTGTACAAGAAAACAAACAAATGAAACTAATAGGTCTGTCCAAAGGTATTGATAACTGCAGCCAACCTGAAAAGGCTTCTACTGGCCAAAGACAGGACAACTGAGCCACCATAAAGAATAACTGAAATGGCCTGAAGCACATTAAAAATGTTAATAGGATTTAAAAAATCTCATTGGTCAACTTGGAGATGCTAGGGAACCAACTCATTATTTTAAAGCTGAGAGTGTGTCGTTCCAGTACAAACTGTACCTCAGGGAACCAAATAATTCATGAGGGAATGTTACTCTTTATAGAAGTACTTCAGCCAATTTACAAAGAAAAAATAACAATTAAAATATCACTATTTTGCAAATCCCAGAAGAAATCATTGATTTCAGCAGTGATCATCAACAGCTGATAACATAATAAAAAGAGACAGCCAGACGTTACATGCATCCTCACAGAAGTACACAGCACCACTTATGAAGCATTCTTGCTAAAAAACTGAACCTGAATCTGATCAATCCTCTATATCTAACTACCATTTTCACAGAAATACAGGGGACAGAAGAATAATACTACACATTACCACAGGATACAATCAACAAAATCCAAGGTGGGAAACTACAGAAGAAGGAGAGAGTTAGGAGAAATAGTGAGCAAGCAAACATATGGATTAAAAGAGATTTATCAACCAAATTCAATGCATGGTCTTTGGTCTTTGAATCTTGATTTGAACAAAACAAAACACCGAACACACACATACATTTGAGACAACTGGGGTAATTTTAAACACCGACTAGATATTTTGTGATATTAAGAAATTATTTTACATTTTTCTAAGTGTGATAATGGTATTGTGGTTATTGTTTTTTAAAGGTTCATTGAAATATTTGTGGCTAAAATTATATGATGTCTGGAATTTGCTTCAAAATAATACAGTACCTAGAAGAGGAAGAAGGTGAATGTGGAGATGAAACAAGATGAGCCCTTAGTTGATGACTACTGAAGCCAAGTAGCTGCTATAGAGGAAATCATTATGTAATTCAATCTACTTTTGTGTT